GCTCACGCTGGCTGCTGGCTACATACGGTAGCCCATGACAACCCACTGCCACTGGGGCTGCAGCCTACACCGTCGCCGGCCACTCTCGGCAGCCCAGCTCCAGGTTGAGCTGTTGTTCAGCATCTTAGCTGTAGAGGACAGTGTCACTGGCCCTCATGTGTGGGATCCGAACCGGGGCCCTCTGGCATCCCAAGCCAGTTCTTAACCATCGCGCCACTCGGCCGGCCCTGAACCATAAAATTTTTACAAGAAGACATAGGGATAAATTTTCATGATGTTGGATTAGGCAATGTTTTCTCTTGGATTAGGCAATGGTTTCTTAGATACGACAGTTACCAAGCAACCAAAAATATATATATATAGATAGATAATATAACTTTGTTAAAATTAAAAACTTTTGTGCTTTAAAGGACACTATCAAAAAAGTGGAAAGACAATTGACAGAAAGGAAGAAAATATTTACAAATCATATATCTGATAAGGATCTTTTATCCAGAATATATAAAGAATTCTTACAACTCAACAATAAAAAGACAACCCAATTAAAAAGTGGATAGAGGATTGAATAAACATTTCTTAAAAAAAAAATACAAATGGAATGTGAAAAGATGCTCAACATCGTCATTAGAAAAATGCAAATCAAAACCACAATAAGGGGGTCCGGCCAAGTGGCTCAGTAGGTAAGAGCATGAGCTCTGAACAGTGGAGCTGCTGGTTCGATTCCCACTTGAGCCAATAAGCTGCGCCCTCTACAGCTAAGATTGTGAACAATAGCTCGCCCTGGAGCTGGGCTGCCATGAGTGGCCAGCGACAGCGTAGGCTGCAGTGGGGCTGCCGTGAGCTGCTGTGAGCCGTCATCCAATGGCAGGCAACCAACTGCCTCAGCCAGGAAGAGCGCAATGATCATAATACCAACATGGTCCAGTGAAGCGGAGTCCTCCACAATTAGACTGAAGAACAAAAGGACAACAGCTTGGCTGTTCCCCTTCCCCAATTCCCCAACGCTGTTCCCCTCTTCCAATTCCCCAATAAAATCTTTAAAAAAAAAAAAAAAAGGAAAACCACAATAAGATACCGGTCCACATGCACTAGAATGGCGAGAATAATACAAGTGTTGATGATGATATGGAGAAATTAGTACCCTCATAAAATGTTGGTGATGTAAAATGGTGCAGCCACTTTGAAAAACAGCTTGGTAGTTCTTTAAAAAATTAAACATAGTGTGACCATATGGCCCAGCAATTCTGTTCCTAGGTATATTCTCAAGAGAGTTGAAAACATATGTTCACACAAAAACTTGTCCATGAATATTCGTAGTGGCATTACTCATATTAGCTACAAAGTGGGGACAAACTAAATGTCCATCAACTGATGAACAAAATGTGATATATCAATACAATAGATTATTATTTGATCACACTAAAGGACCAAAGTACTGATACATTCTATCACATGGATGAACCTTGAAAACATTATTATGCTAAGTGAAAGAAGCCAGACACAAAAGGCCACCTATTGTATGATTCCATTGATGTGACATATCCAGAATAGGCCAATCCATAGAGACAGAAAGTAGATTAGAGATTGCTAGAGGTTGGGGAGAAAGGAGAATAGGGAGTGAATTCTCACAGCTATGGCATTTCTTTTAGCGATGATGAAAATGTTTTAGAATTAGATATTGGTGATAGTAGCACCACCTTGTGAATATACAAAAACCATTGAACTGTACACTTTAAATGGTGAATTTTATGGTATGTGAATGATATCTCAGTAAAAGAGCATGGAAGATAGAAAAATGGCTCTACAGACTCAGATACTTAGATGGAAAATGCACCTCAACTGACATACCTAAATAAAATCGCCATACCTAAGTAAAACCAAATGCATACCTTAAAGACATTGTATGAGATTGCCTCAAATTACATCAAGAATGAGAAAATCTTACATGCTATGACAAGCTGGTTATGTATGCTCAGGGAAGCTGCAAGCATAACAAAATGACAACCAATTGACAGCAAATTTTGCATTGGTAATAGAGAATGCCAGAAGACAATGAAAATATATATTCCATGTGCTGAGGGAAAATAAGGCAATAGATGATAGCTAAAATAGCTCAATTATTAGTTATGAATGCAGGTAAGTAAAAACATTTTCAGGTATACA